CACATCACCCAAAGCAAGGCTAGTGAAGGAAAGGATAAACAGCTGGGACTACATCAAATTAAAGAGCTTCTGTACAGTAAAAGAGACATTACCTAAAACAAACAGATATCCCACTGACTGGGAGAAAAATTTTTGCACATAATATGAATGATAAAGGACTGATCACAAAGATATGCAAAAAGCTGATGAAACTCAACAAATATAAAGTGAACTCCCCATCAAAAAATGGGCAAAAGAGCTAAAAAGACACTTCTCCAAAAAAGAAATGCAGACGGCCAAGAGGCACATGAAAAGATGTTCAGCATCATTTGTAATAAGGGAGATGCAAATCAAAACCACAATGAGATACCACCAGTGAGACTGGCACAACTTCAAACAACTAGCAACAACAAATGTTGGTGAGGATGTGGAGAGAAAGGAACTCTCCTACACTGGTGGTGGGAATGCAAACTGGTCCCCACCATGGAGAGCTGTGTGGAGGTTTCTTAAACTGCTAAAAATGGAGCTTCTATGTGATCCAGCAATCCCACTCTTAGGTATCTACCCAAAGAACATAAAAACAATAAGTCAAAAGGACAACTGCACCCCCATGTTTAGTGCTGTCCCATTTACAATAGGGAAGACATGGAATCAACCCAAATGCCCCAAAATAGATGACTGGATCAAGAAGATGTGGCATATATACACAATAGAATATTACTCGGCAATCAAAAAAGATACTTAAAAAATTCTGCAGTGTTTTTTATAGTTATCAATTATTGCATGTGTGGCACATGCTAACGGTGAAAGGGAATACTAGAATGAAAAATATCCAATTTCTATTCCCACTGAAATTATAATGGATTCAGAGACACGAGAGACACATATAAGAAAAGCAGTGATGAGCACTGCCAGTTATACACTATGATTATCAACCAAAGTTTTGGTATTAGGTTAAGGCCTAGATCACTCTACAAATGGTGAAACTGAGCAACAGAGCAGACGGATTGACCAAAATCAGCAAAAGAAGAGGCTCATCCCCCACCTACTATACGCTGTCATCAACCTTCCACCTGGAACTAGGCAATGAAATGGTGCTCAAGTTCAAAGCTGCTTCTGAATTTGGGAGGGAAGCATGGAAGTTGAGTGGGGAGAGAAAGGGCTGAGACTTGGGGAAGGAAGTGCAGGCTGTTAGCGAGAGAAGGAAAGTTGGACGCAGATAGTTAAAGGAAATCACACCACAGTCTCTACTCTGCCTTTGGGAAGAAAGTCTCACCCGCACCCTCAAACTTTAGGACATTTAAGAGTCACTGGGGACCTTACTAGGACAAGACCTGATGTCACAGGTCTGGGAACTCACACTTCTTTTTTTAGTGTTTGCTTCATTTTATTCACTTGTTTTATTGAGATGTAGTTGGCATACAACAGTGTGAACCTTAAGGGCGACAAATCATTGGTGCGGCCCATTGCACGCCACGGTACAGTGGCTGGTGTGGCCTTGGCACCTCCATGCACCACGGAATTGTCATTCCTTTTTTTTGGCTAGAACAATTAAGACCTAGACTTTTAGCAGCTTGGAGGGGTAGCAGATGGCATTGTTGCCTAGCATCATTATGTGGTGCTCTGCCTTTCCAACCGGCTCCCCAAGAGATGCCCATGCACCACTTTCAGACCACATTGGGCAGCAGGGAGAAGGTCACCCTGCCAGGATGTATCTTCCAAGCCCCCCAACTCTGAACCACACCCTCCCTCTGTCATCTCCCTTTGCTATGATAAGTCCTATACTGACTGGTAAAAGCTGTATATTTCTCAGGGTTTTTGAAGTAGAGGTGTGTGTTTGTGTATGTGTGCATGTACCCAAGAATCATGAAACCCACAGATGACACGAGCAAGCAGGGAACAAACTGGAAGCTAGAAGGCCGGTAGCCAGAGGAGATGTGGCAGAAAGACAAGAGGGCACGGTTTATTTGCTCACTTGTTCCAGGTGATAAATCTACCTGCCTCAGTTTCCACCTCTGCAAAATAGGTGTAGCAAAAGTCCTTAGCTCACAGGACTGTTGTAAAGATTACATGGACTGTTAAGTGAACAGTCCCTCAAACACATTAACAATTTCATCATGGCCAATTACCCTCTGGCTACCTGTCAGCCCTCACATGCAATTGTGTATTCAGTGAATGCTATGGAGAGTGGGTTGTCTGTCTAGCCCTGGCTGGATCCCTGAGCAAAGGTCTGATTTGGACATACCTCATTGATGTTGAGATGCATGGACTCTTTGTCCTTCATACTGAGAGCCTGGAACACCCCTGAGGAAGAGAATGAGAGAGCTGTCAGTGTTGGAGTTGTTCCTGCAGCAAGTTTTATTCTCTCCCCAGGACTGAGGGGCCCTCCCTTTGTGGCTGAAAGGCTCCTCTGGTGGCATGTAAGAATCTGCTAGAGCTGGGCATTCTTCACTCAGCTTCAATCACTCAGCTTCAACTTTGTCACCGTTCTGGGCGTGAGGATGGGGTGGGTATAACCATATGCTGCAAGCGCTAAAGGCCATCTCCACAAAGTCTCTCTCTTCCAGGGATGCCAAACTCTGCGAAAACTGGGTTGGTGTCTGGGATTTATAATACAGAAAGGTGGGGAAAAGAAGCGAGGAAGAGAGAGAGGGCAAGAGACTCTTCTATGTGCAATAACAGGATTTGACCAGAAACTGGACAGGTCCTCAGATAGGAGGCAGAAGCCCCACCCTCACTCCCACCCAAAGGGGCTGGAATGTGGAGAGAACACTCATTGTAACAGATGCTCGGCAGGGCAGACTTATACATGCCCCCCAGCCTGGCCCCCCCGCAGCCACATGCCTCACGTAGACCAGCCCACAGCCCTGGGCCTGTGTTTGCTCTAGTTTTTGGCGGGCGGCTTCCTACATGCTCCCAGAAGGTGGAGCGTGTCCTGTGGTCCAGGACAGGCAGCCCCCACCCCCACCCCGACACTCACGGCTGGCGTTCTCCAGGCGCACCAAGCAGTTGAGGAAGTCGTCGAAGCCCAGCTGGAGCGTCTCGTCTGTGTACCTGAGGACGGTGAGCTGCAGGAGGCGGCTGTTCAGTTGGAAGCCTGTGGGAAAGGGTGAGAGGACGAGCCCCATGGCTGAGCCCCAAGGGTACACCTCCTGGGAGCACCCAGGGAACCTCGGGGTGACTAACAAAGGGAGCCCCCTGCCCAGGGGAGGCTGCTGTTCTGGGCTTGATTCTGCAGGTGAGGGTCCTGGAGGCAGCCCCCACAGCCGTGCTGAGCCCTGAGGTCAGTGAGGTCCGGTGTTGCTGCTGGTGCCCAAGTCACGCAGAGGGTCTGTGACGGTTCAGGAGGTCTCACCTGAGTCACTCGTGCTCCTCCCCAGCCTCCCCTCTGGCTCCCTGCTGGAGCTCACCTCCAGCTGCCTCTGCTGGGCATCTGGGGGTTCCGGCCACAAACCCACAGTAAGTGGACATTTCTCAGCGGTATTTGATCCCAGAGCTGTTGGGGGCTCTAGAAACTGTGTTGCTCAGAGGAGATGCCGCTGCCCAGTGTGAATGACACGGGGCAGGCTCCACTCACACAGTCCTGGGGGTGGGGGGCCACCAGGCTGGGGCCACGGGCCTGGATGCAGGCGGCTGCTGCTCAGGCCAGCGGGAACTCGCTTTACTTGGGTTTCCTCATTGGTGGACTGAGGGTTTCCACAAGGAAAGATCTGATACTTAATGCTTGATTTCTAACCAAGTTCCTTAGGAATGATTGTCGCCACCCCCCCCCCCAATTTATTTTAACCACATACTCACTTGCCAGGAAATAGTCAAAGTACTGCCTAGAAGTCCAGCCAGGGTCCCTGTCTGCTCAGCCCCAGCTTCACACAGAGGAGACCCACGCCTGGTAGTTTCTGGACTCTGTACAGTGGGGTGCCCAGAGCGCCGGAGCTGTACTCAGTGGGAAGGAGGGGGGAGGGGGAGCCCCCTCCACCTCAAGTTGGATGGGAAAGACTGGTCACACCCCTCACAGAAGGGCAGCCGTTTTGTCCCTGCTTGGTTTTCTTACTCTGGAAACAGGTCCCCAACCCCTAGGAAAACCTGGCCCATTGCATCTGTGTCACATTTACAACTAATCTTGTTTCTTCGCCCTCATGCAGGACCCAGATGCTCCTGCTTTTTACATTCTGTCCCTTTGGACCTGAAAGCTGACACTTCCCAGCTGTATGGTTACCTGGGAGGGAACAAGAGTATCGGGGTCAGCAGAAGCCAGGGGCCCATTTCCCTGAACATGCTCTGTGAGAAACACCACCCCGCTTGTGGGGCCTGAGGGTTGCAGAGGACAATTGGGCCCCAGAGACGGAACCTGCCTCGCTGTGGCATAGCCAGAGGCATCCCAAACCCACCTTTCCTGCTGGGAGCAGGGGACGAGCTCTGCACACATATCCGGTTAGGATTCAGGGACTTGGCCCATGGTGACAAAGTCAGGGAAAGGGTGGCAGGTGGCAGAGGGGGTGCATGAGTCTGTGAGCGGCCCCCTGACTGTAAACCACAGGCGTGTCCTGTGTGTCTGTAACACAGGAATGAGAGGGTTGGAAGACTGTGGCTTGCCCCAGGAGGGTCCTGGTAACTGCTTGGGCAGAAAACTTGGTCAGAGGCTCGGAGGCCTCTTAGGGCTCACCCTTTGTGGAAATACGTTTTTTAAATCCTACCAACATTGCACTATGATCTAAAATGCAGGGCCCTGAAGTGACTGAGGGAGTCCTGGGTCTGACCTCTGGCTCTGCCCTGGGAAGCACCAGCGGCCACCTCCTGGAGTCCAGAGAAAAGCAAGACAAAGCCCCTGACGCAGTCGCCTGCACCTGCCCTGGGCTTTTCTTTACCTGCGGCTTTCAGGGCGATCCGCAGCTCGTAGGAGGACATGGTGCCGGATTTATCAGCGTCGAACTGAAGGAAAAGGTCCTGGGGAGGAGAACGAGGGCCCTGGTGAGTCCCAGGCCAAGTTGGGGCTAATTAGGCAGCTTCAGGGACGCGGGCTGGACTTCCCGAGAGCTGAAGAGGAGCTCCCGAGACTTCTCCAGAGCTAGGACAGTGAATTCTAAGGGCCAGCCAGACATACTCCAGAGGTGAGGTGAAAGCCCAGAGGGCAGTAAATATTATGGCTAAAATTTAAGGAGAATTGGAACAGTAAGTTGTAGGAGACGTTGGACCGGGGCAGTAAAAAGAGAAACTCTGAGATGAGCGCTGGGATCCTGGCACCTCTGGCCGAGGAGATGGTGCGGTTTTACAGGAGGGGGAAGGCTTAAATTCCCCTAGGTGGGGGCCCACCATGGCTTCCTTGCCCCTCCCAAGCGGGAGTCCATTTGTTCTTGCTGTAAATAAACTTTACTTTCTTAAAGTTTGTTTCCAAAGTGTCTGCCAGTTACGGCTTGGCTTCATGGGACAAGCGTCTGTGGTGGTTCAAGGGCTAAGTCAACATGGCGGCCCTGAGAGGTGACACTCGTGCAGCAGTGGGGGGTGGCCAGTGAGGGGGAGAGGCCTCATGGGGGCTGAGGGGGCCCTCCAAAGGAGGTTGATTCCTTTGGCTTTTCACTTCCGGTGGAAGCACTGTGGTACCTCCAGCAGCATCACCAGCCCTGCTGGAATTTCATCATGATTTGTTCTCTTCTACCTGGAAGGTCACCCAGGCCCCCAGAGTGGCAAAAGGTATCAATATCTGGGTATCACGATGAGCTGCTGAGTTGGTGTCAGGATGCTGTCCCAGGCTGTCGCTCCCTGCCCCCAGGTAGCCACTCTGATAAGGACCAAAGACCCTAAACAAAGGGGACAGCTGACCAAAAAGGGTGGCATGACTCTTCCGCTCCCTCCCCGGGCCTGACAGAGCGGGGCATATATGGGACCCCTCACCGTGCACTGAGCGAGACTCCCAGGCCCCTGCAGGGGGCCTGCAGACCTCACCTGCCCGGGAGCGCAATAAAGCCTTCCCCTCTCCTGCTTCTGTGTCCTTGCCTTATTCTATCCGCTGGACCTTACACTGCCTTTTCTGGAAATTAATCCTCTTGCCTGCAACACCATGACCTTTAAAACCCCCCTTCTGCTCTAGGTCTCTACAAACCCGAGGCCAAGCACCACCAGGTTACATACGATCCACTTCTTCAGTTTGTCCCAGAGTACTTTGAATTCATCAAATTCCAGCTTCCCGTTGCAGCTGGTCTGTGTCAGGAGTCAGTTAAGGAAGGAAGAAGCAAATACGTTTCAACCTGGGATTTCAGAGGCAGGCCCAGCGTGGGCTGACTTGGGTGACATGGATTCAGATGCCTAGGGAGACGGTTCAGTTACTAAGCCAGGAATCTATACAAGGCACAGGATAGGGATCAGGTAGGAAGCACAGCTGAAGATTGAATGCCCACTCAACCCCTCCCACACCCCTCTTCATTTCCTTGGATGGGACCCCAGAGTGGCAGCAAGATTCTCAAATCCTTTGGAACGAGGCAGATAGTTAAATTGATTTCAGACCCCAAAGAGCACAAAAGAAAAATAAACTTAATCTGGAGTTTTCTCTTTGAGGCTGGTGCTAGACACAGCAAATGCAAACAACCTTGGGCTGAGCTCCAAGGCCAGTGGGAACTAACAGCTCAGAGAGAGGGAGTTCTCCAGGAGGCGAAGCGCCTGCTGAAACTCCAGTCTGCAGTTATCTGAGAGTAGCTTCTTCATTCATCATTGTGAAGTGTTCCCTGACTAGCCAAAAACCTTCAGCTAAGTCCAGATTTCTTTGTCCCTCACCTACATTTCAGCTTCTTTTCATTTTTGACCCCTGTGCCCTGAATTGCTTAATTCCCTTTGTCTCCAAAAGCTGGAGACATTAAAACTTCCAAATAATTGTCACTCACTGGGATAAAAATGATAAGACAACTAGTCATATCTCACATCTGGGTCTCCAAATCTCAGCCCCTGATCTTGGTAGGAAACAGGTCCAGAAGAAAGGACTTGCCCATCACCCCTCAAGAATGGGGAGCAGGTGGTGAGGTGAGAAGCAGGGGCACCTCAAGAATGAGATGTTGTCACCAGCCCAGTTACCAAACTTCCTCGTCTTTGTTCTGATCTTGAAGAAAACAACTGAGAGTGAGATGGAGAACTTCTGTAGGGAATCACCAACCCTGCATTTACTTAAGGAAAACAGGAGTTGGGACCCAAGAGAGAAGCCCAGAGCCCCTACCCTTGATGAATGACGCCTGCCTGGTCGCCTGATGGCCATGAGTCAAGAGAACAGTAGCCTATGCCCATCCACATGTCCCGCAGTGCCTGTCCCTTGGAGACAATAGTCCACCACCTCCTGAATCAACCTGATTTCTTCCCACCAGCTCTCAACTTTTGAGTTTTGGCCTTTGAACCGCAAGTTGCTGGACCCTGGCTCTGGTAACATCTTCAAAAACAATCCTCCACAGACAGACTATGCCTATGGGTTCTGTTCCAGTTCTAGCTCCAGGGGTCACCCAGCTTCAGCTACCGTTTGTGAAGTGTAGCCTGCAGGTCTTGGGGGCCATGTCCTAGGGAGGTCTGCAGAGAAAAACACTGAACATCTATTTTTGCCCACATATTTGGAAGGATACGTCCATTAGAGAAATGATGTTTTTACAGGAAATCAGACTTAGCTTCTTAAACTGAATGTTCTTTTCTGAAATCACACATGAAAGCAGAATTCAGTTGAAATCTGTTAAAACTGTTCCCAGATGCTGACAGTCCCAGTGTGGTGAGATCTGGGACTCACTAGGGTGCTGACCTGGTCAGTCTCTTAGGATACTGAGGAGAGTAGAAATGACACGGCTCTTGGGGAGAAAAATTTACAAAATACAAAAAAAGCCTTAAAATGGGATTAGCCTTCCATCCATTTATCTTCATCTTATGATTTCTAAGCACAGAATGTTAAATGAAGACTTGTTGTTACATTATTTATAATGCCAAAAGTCAGAAGTTCTAGAAGGACCAATGGAAGGGCCTGAACAGTACGTTGGGTTATGTACCTAGGATGGATTGTTACACAACATTTAGGAACTTTTGAAACATATTTAATGATCTTGGGGAAATGTTCATAAAAATGTAGTCTAAAAAGCAGGGTTAAAATTATTGGAGAAATTTGAACATTCACACACTGCTAATGGAAATGTAAAAAAAAAAAGTGCTTTGGAAAATGGTCAGGCATTTCCTCAAAACATTAGCTATAAAATTATTTCTGAATTCAAGCAATTCTTTTAACTATGGTCCCAAGAGAAATGAAAATATGTACACACAACAAACTGGTCATATGAGGGGCTATTATCCTGGATATCACATGCCACACGTGGCTGAACCTTGAAAATATCATGCTAAGTGAAAGAAGCTGGGTACAACAAAATCACATATTACAAGATGCCTTTTCTATGAAAAGTCTAGAACAGGCAAATCTATAAAGACAGAGAGTAGAGACAGAGAAGAGAGACAGGGGATGGAGGAAGTGGAGAGGGGATGGTGGATGGGTACAGGGTCTCTTTTTGGAGTGATGAAAGGCTCTAAAAATTGACTGAGGTGATTGCCGAATTCTGTGAATAGCTAAGAACTATTGAGTTGTGTGCCTTAAGTGGGTGTACTCTATGTATGTGAATTATGCCTCAAAGCTGTTAAAGTAAAAGTGTCTATCACTTATCTATCCATCTATTTGTCTATCTGTCCGTCTGTCTCTCTACCTACCCACCCATCCCCCCATCCACACACAGAGACGCAGACTGCATGTATGATAAACAGACACTAGCTCAAACACACACACGCTAACAAGAGTTATTTACAGTGGTGAGGTGACTAGTGATTTTTATCTTTGTCATTATCTTTTCTGAATTTTAAAGAATTTCCTCCTACAAACCTGCATCATTTTTGGAGTTAGGAAATAAGCCACAAAAGCTACTTTTAAAATCTGTCTGAAGCAGGGAGCTTGGGGAACAGAGAACCAGGCTGGGCGCCTGTCACGTGTCCACTCCATGGGAGCCCTGGGGTGCCTGGTGGGTGGTGGGTGGTGGGTGGGAACACTTACTCGCCTGCATCTCAGCATTTAAAATACATTGCAGTTCTTCTGCGGTTACCGCCATGTCCTGTTGAAGAGGAGACAGTTGCTTTTAATGACTCATTGTTTTCTTTCAGTTATGAGCTAATTTGGCTTGAGAGCAGCCCATCCCTCAGCACCCTCTTGCTTTCTGGGTGCCCCACACCTGTGTGGCTGCAGCCTGCTCACTACTCTGTAAACTTTCAGGCACCCAAGAAGGGACGTAAGGACGTAAGTCAGGCCAGGCCACACATGCTCGTCCTCCCCTGAGCCCACGCTCCCTAAACGATTGCTGTGCTAGAGGACACTGGTGACTGGGTTCCCAAGCCTCTGTCACTGCAGAAGCACCCCGAGAGCTTCAAAAACGCCCATACCAGGGGCTTACCCCCGGGGCCATTTTGATCGGGATGACTGTGACAATCAATGGTTCATTGATTATTTTCAAAACCTCTGAGGATGAATTTCAGAACCATTGACATAAGGTCCAGCAAATCCCACTAAATCTCACCACCAGCTGCACTCAGAAAGCTTGAGAGAAATGCAGAGTCTTAGGCCTTCCCCAGACCTACTGATGAGGACCTGGTGAGGATGCCCAGGTGACTGTGCGCAGACTTTGAGTGGCACTGACTCAAGGCCCCTTTGTCAAGGTTTTGAAATAGCATGAAACATAGTCCCTGGAGCTCTTTACATGTGGCTGCCGCCTTTCAGCCCTGGAACTCTTCAGGCCTGAAGAGCACAGGTGGCGGATACCCACCTCGCAAAGAATCCCCGATCCAGCCCAAGTCCCCCGAGGAGAGGAGGCAGGAAGAATGGGGTCGAGTGGGCAAAGTCGTCCCAGGGCTGGACTTGAGGTGCTTTTTGTTGTTACGAAAGGTTGAATGAATCGCCTGCGCCATTCTCCCTTCCTCCCCAGCCTGGATCTCCACTCTGGTGACATCTGTCCCTCCCAGGCCAGAGGAGCTCACCCAGGCCGTGCTGCGTCTGTAGCTGTCCACTCACCTCTCCCTTCCGCCTGCCCATCTCCCACAGTGTGGAGACTGAGGGCTACTCACAGGTCCCCTGCTGCTGGACCTGGCTGTTTATGACAGTGCCTGAAATGCTACCCCTAAGTTTAAGGTTCACCCTTTACAATTCAGGAGTCCTGTCAAGGGAAGGAAGCCAGGAATTCGTCAGGAATTGGCTTATTAGGCTAATGTCATTTATAGCTACCAATTGAGAGGCTTCAAGGGAACATGGGTGGAACAGTAGCAGGACCGAGGAGACCTGGGCAGGACAGTGAAGACCCCAGCCCCCCAGACACAGGCAGTGTCCCCAAAAAACAAGCTGAGTATCTGAGAGGGTGGGAATGGGCAGGGGGAGGGCAGAAAGCAAGGGGGGCAGACTCTCTCCAGGCTGCCCCGGTCCCCAGCCACCAAAGCTGGCCACGCCTCTGGTGTTAGCTGGCAAAATGCTGGCAGATATTTACTACTTAACACCAGCGGTTCTGCCACCACCACCTTCAAAAGAGCGGAGAGAGCATGATGAAGGTGCCAATTTCTGGGCAGGGGTCAAAGGAACCCCCCGAATGCTGTCTCTAGTTCCCATGCAGTTTTTGGACCTGGCCCGAGCTCCTCTGGGTACTGCAGCCTGGTCAGTGCAGGCTGGAGAGAGATATGAGGAGGAGGAGGCATTAGCACTTCTCAAAAGACCAGGGCGGCTTTGTCCCTGCCAGCTCCTTCCGGCCTCTGGATCAGCCTCTGGAAGTGTCACCGCATCCCTGGAGAGGGGACCTGGCCCCTCCGCCCTGCAGGGGACAAGGCTTGGGCAGCCCTACCTCACCAGCCACGCGTTCAAACAGGGCCCGGAACTGCTGTTCCTCCTCTGTCTCCTGGGCAGGTGGAGTTGGCTTCTGAGGCTAAAAGTTAACCAGAAGAACGTGCTTTGGAGCCACAAGAGAGACACTGACATTTTCTTTCCCAAAGAAAGAGCAGGAAAGGAGAGCCCTGGGCCGGAGGTGGTGCCGTCCACTGGAGGGGGAGCGGGGACCTCACGGCAGACGCAGAAGCCTGGGCCAGCACTGGCCACAGCCAGCGGGTTGGGAATAACAGTTTGTTCCCTTGTGAGGACTCTTTGAAAGAAGTGGACCGGTAGGATGCATTAACCAACTTCTCGCTCTCTCTCTTTTCCTGAGTTGTTCATGTCCCTTTCTCTTGTAAATAAACCCATTATTAACCTTTCTGCATGTGCCTGAGGCTGACTCTTGTATAAGTCCCTGTAAACGCACAGGTGACTCAACGAGTTCACATTGGGTTGCCCTGTAACAGCAGCATCTGGAAGGACAGTGGGCCGGCCGTGCCCTCCTCACCTGATAGGTGAGAAACTGACTCCTGCCTGGGCTGGTCCAGCCAGGGCTGCCAGCAGCCTCCCCTTCCTCTAGCTCACAGCGCACCACCTAGACTATAGTTACCTGCCCGGTCACCTGTCGTGATAGGTGAATCTTTACGGGCAGGACTCTTTCTGGCATGGAGCACCTGTTCTGTCTGGGGTCTGCTCATAAGCCAGCCCCAGGGGGGCAGCAAGGAGAGAAAGCCCTTCCTAAAAACTGGCCATCGCTCGAGTTGGGGGTGTCATGTTCTGGTCACATCAGCATCTCTTGGAAGCCTCACAGCCCTCGGACAAGAGTCAGACCAGCCCCTACTGCTCTCCTAAGAGACAACACAAGGAAGAAGTTATGTTCCCCATGCCACAGTAAAAATTCTACCTGCTTCTCTTGTTTTCCTTTCATCTGTTGTTTTTCTGCAATGAATGCATTTCAAAGCTATTCCATCCACTTAAACAACAGCAGTAACCTCTCAGGAAACAGAGTGGGGGCTTCTGCTGAGAGAACGGTCACTCTTGTTCTAACCAAGAGGTTAGAATCCAGGTACTTCCTTGCTCCCACGTAACCATTCCCTGAGCTTTGGCATTTTAAGTGGTGTGATGGTTAGAAGGAAATTTCCAAGAAGCCACTGACTCCCACTGTCCACAAGATGACTCACCTCTGGAAGGTCAATGTCTATATTTCCATCCATGTCCCTGTGGACACAAAAACTGTGTTGATAATCATGGATTCACTTCCCCGTTAGCCTGCAGAGCTACCAGGTCCAGAGGTGCTGGAAGGTTCTGTCCCGCAGCAGCCGTCCTTTTCTGTGCCTGCATTTCACTGCACACTGACCTCCCTCTCCAGTCTTCAGGCAGACCTTGCTCGACATGAAAGTTAGAGGAAGACAGTGTGGCATCACCCAAGGAGAACTGGTAAATCCTGTACTTTGAGACAAGACACTCAGCTTGTCTCACTAGGGGGAGAGTTTTAAAGGCTTATAGAGGGTGTGGAGGCGGAACCAACAAGCTCACCTTGCAGCAACACCCCCCCACCCCTCCATAGGGGCAAACCCCTGAGCCTGGTTCTGTTACTGAGCCACTAGGGCCTGTTACTGATTCAGGGTCACAGCGGATGACACACGCATATCAAACTCAATATCACCTTCCAGGGCACACTGACTATTGCATCTACACCATGCACCCTGAGGGTGGCATTATCTGGGACCCCACCTCTAATGGACAGAGAACATGAGGGTTAACGAACAGCTCCGCGTAGCCTTTCCTCTCTTGTCCCTGCTGCCCGCAGGAGCTGCCCATCTGCTTGGATCTCACCTGGGGTTCTTTTGTGTGAGTGGATACACTTCATCCTCAGTGTAATTAGTGTGTGAGAGAGAAGACTGGAGTAAAACTTTGAGCAGAATTTTAAAAATGAAAGATTGTATTGCCTCCCTGTAGCTGATGAGGAAGAACCATGCCTTCTGCAGTCAGCCTGGGAAACCCAACCGGAATTTGTCACTGTGAAACTGTCATTGCCCAACATGATGCAATTCTATGTCACTAGGCAGAAGAGAAAACCGGAGCAGGCTGTGTGGCCACCATTATCTCTAGCTTGTTGTCTCAGGTTGATCCTTTGAGGGGGCTCAACAGAAACAGAATTAGTAGATCTTGTCATTCTCTGGGGTTCCTAGAAAATCTCCACTGGGGAAAGGAAGAGCTTCTTGAATCTTGAACCATTTCCCTCCCACCCCTGCCACACAGTTATTAATGGTAAATGGACAAAAGAGAAACTTCTTCCATGGAAGTAACTAATACAAAATAATTTTGCTAAGACATTCTGAGGGAGGGATGGCAGAATATTGGTTATGTAAGAAGGTACAGCATTTATTTGAAATGGAGCTGAAAGTATGTGTGATTCTTGAGGCTTGGAATAGACACCCCTTTCATCATGCATAGAAACACCTCTGGCATTCCCCTCATGTAGTTCCCATTCCAGAAGCTTCTTGGTAATAGCATCTGGAAAATGAAGGGCTTCACTCAAGAGTATTTGTGCACATGGTTCTGGGGTCAGTTGGAAAGAGCAAAAAAATTTTTTTAAGGATTTATTTACTTATGCTTACAGAACTGGGGTACAGGCCAGAGGTGTGGTGGGTGAGAGGATTCACCAGAGACAGAGCGGGGAGCAGAACAGGCAGATCGACGAAGTACACTGCTGAGGGGAGCAGTGGGAGGGTCAGGAGAGGTCTGCTGTGCCATGTGGGTCAACTCCCTGGTGGGGGATTGAACTTGTGCTGTAGTGACTTTGGAGAACTTCAAATTGTGGTGCTTTAACCTGTTGCGCCACCAAGGATAGCCCCGGAAAGAGCAACTTTTTTTTTTAAAGATTTATTTGTTTATGCATACAGAGCTAGGGTACAGGCCAGAGGTGCAGGGTTGGTGAGAGGATTCACCAGAGACAGAGCAGAGAGCCGAACAGGCAGATGGAGGAACTACACTGCTGAGGGAAGCAGCGGGGGGAGGGGCGGGAGGAGGGTTGAGAAGTCTGCTGTGCCATGTGGGTCACTTCTGGGTTAGGGCCCCAACTCATGCAGAAGTGGCTTCTTAGTGCTGTGCTTTAAGCTGCTGCACCACCACGGAGGGCCCAGAAAAAGCAACTTTTTAATGTGAAACTAAATAGGAAACAATGCCTTTGCTTCACTGACAGGTTAAGAACCTCCCCTGTGTCCTTCCTGGTTTCTCAGGTAGTTCATGGAAAGAGGACAAGAGGATGGTTAGTGGCTCCCACCACCCTCTGGTGACAATTCTGTGAGTGCATCTCCCACCAAAGGGGGTTTTTGAAACTCACCAGGTAATGGCCTTCTTCTCTGAAAAGATCCTCAGGCAGAAATCTGCTTCCTGATGGGGCTCAAAAGTGCTGGGAATCAAGATGTACTCCCCAGGGGGCAGCTTGAACCGCTCAGACACTTCTCTCAGGTTGATGAAGGTTTTGCTTTTGGCCTGGGATGTGTGGTATCTGAAGAAGTCTTTGTTCAGGTGCTGGTCTTTGCCGGGGCACTGTAACAGGAGTGTGAGGGGAAGAGGTGTCTCTGGCTGTGGGCTTGGTTACTTGGACACAGTGTAGGGACTGGCGCTGAGTCTCGGGTGTAAGGCTGAAAAGGGACTGAGAACTCAGAAGGCCCTGGGCACCACGCTGTAACCTGGCACCCACGTACCTGGTAAATAGCATAGCCGATGGTCAACACCTCAGCTCCAAACTTCTTAAGTTTCCTTCGATCTTTCTGCATCAGGGCTACAAGGAAATTACACTCCTCCTGCCCCTCATCTTTCTCAGTCAAGGACAATTTTATTTGTGGGTTGGTCCAAAAGGTATCTGCCATTAGAAAGATGCAGATTATTTGCCCCTTTAAAAAAAAAAAAAGACACACACACACACACACACACACACATCCTACCCACTCCCAGCAAAGGCTCCCAAAGCTGAAGAAAGTCTCCTCCATCCTGATTTCCCTCATGCCCTACTTTCTACAATCCCCTGGGAGAATAAAAAGTGTTCTCTTTCACACCCGCCGCTTTTGGAACCATTTCTCATGCAACTTTTCAAAAACATTCTTCTGAATTTTGTCCATTGCAATTTGTTCTGTCTTTTTCTTTTTCTTTTCCACTTGGTATTTCAAAGGAGAGTACAGGACGCTGTACTGGTCTCCCAGGGCCGACACAGTGGTCATGTGATTTGGGCAGAGGTGACCTCAGGCCTACACTATTCCCTCTTGCCACAGGGAACCTGAGCAAGAAGTTTGTCAGTCCACAGAGCTCACCGGGCTCATAGGCTTAAGGAATCCCCAGTTAGAGGAGGCTAAGGGCTTCTGTTGGAGGACCCTTAGGAGTTCTTGCTGAGCATGGCAGGAAATGAGGGGCCAGAGCTGGCTGCCTCCCGTCACGGTAAAGTGAGACAGCCTCTGGGGAAGTCAACAGAGCAAAAGCCAGCGCAGAGTACATAAGCAGGTGCACTGATCACCTCTGGACTGTTTGGTTATGTAGGAAAGTAAAATCTTTTTATTTCTAAATTAGTGTGAGTTATGTTTTCTATTACTTGTCATGGAAAATAACCCAAGTGGTAAAACAAGGGTGGCTCCTTGAGCAGTTCTTATCCAAATCTCCTAAACCCTGGCAACCTTCTTTTCCCAATCATCGCTGAAATGCTTCTGTCTTACTCCATGTTTTGGGCCTTCCCCAGGTCAGATCCACTGGCATTCTGATTGGACTCAACACTTGGGTGACAGAGTTAAAAGGTGGGTAGACTACCGACCCAGGAAATTGCGGCAGCCTCCAGCCGTGGAGCCCCGCACCCAGCTTCCGTGGTGGACTGCCACTTCCCATCTGTGAAGGGCGCCCTCCTCTAGGGCGTCAGGAGTTAGGTTGCAGACCTCCACTTTGTCGAAATGGGCCTTGAAGTCTGCAAATGCCATCCTGCGAGAGAATGGAGAGACACACGCTTTGGAGGGCTGACATGGCATAGCCTACTCACCCACTCAGTCACCCGCTGTTACTGAACAGCTTGCTTCCATTCTGGAGGATCGGGGAGAAATCTAATAATAAATAAATAAAGGAAAGGTTAAGAAAGATAAAAAGGTTAGAATATAGTTGATATAGATAAGCACAACAAAGGGAAATAAAGTAGGGTGAAGGATGAGAATGTAGGGTGGGGGACATTTTGCAGACAGCAAAGAGAAAGCCTGACTGTTCAGATGGAGACTGGAGAGTAGGGGAATGGGACACAATGATTTTCTGGCATTCCAGGTAGGTGGAGAACAGGTCTTAAGATGGGTAAGTGTATGATACGCTCATGACACACCAAGACCAATGAGGTGACACAAGGTGTTGGACAATGTTCAAAGATATGATAGACCAGGAGGTCTTCATAAGGATTCCAGCGTTGACTCTGACTAGATGGCGAAACATTAGGACGTGTTAAGTGGAAGAACAACATGACCCATAACCCATGACCACTGGGAAAGGGCACAGATAGAAGTGGAGTCACCAGCTACGAAGTAAGTGCTGTTGTCCTGGTGATAGATGAGGTGGGTCAGTCCAGGCTGGCAGGATGGGAGGTGGTGAGCAGTGGTCAGGTTTGAGACACATTATGCAAGTTGATCCTATAGGATTTCCTGAAGGATTAAATGTGGGGAGAAGAATGAAAGGTAAGAAGGTATTTGAATAGTTGGATGGATAAAGGTGAGGAAGACTGTGCTATAGCAAGTTTGGCAGAGAAGGATTTGAGGTTTAGACATGTTACCCTGTGATGGTCTGCTGAGTAGATGTTCAGGGAGATACTGAGGAGATGCTTGGAATTCATAGGAAAGGAACTGAAGATAGAAACTCAGGAGGATTGAAACCATGGCTGATCCCCAGGGTGGTGATGAATGTTTGACTATCTCTTGAGTTTGCTCCTATGAAGGCAGACACTTTTCTATGAGTCTTATCACACAAAGTTGTGCAGAAGCAAATTGATCTGAAGCCAAACCCCAAGCTGGGCAGAACCATGAGACTACTGACACAAAATCAAGAAAACAGGAAAAAAAAAACATATGAAAGGAAACAGAAATCAGATGTTTGGACCCAGAAACAAAGATCCATCCGAGAGTCTGGAGACCTTTTCAAATATAGATCCATTTGTAACCATTTGATCAAACTTCTTCAAGCCCATAGCCTTCACATTCTTAACTTTTATTTCCTTTCTACCTCCATTTCTATAAAATCATTTCTAGTCTCTAGATTTGAGCCTTGCCTCAAATCTGTCTCCTTGCTGTTTGACCTCACAATAGAGAAAACTTTCTTCCCCCAAACTGGTGCTGCAATGGTTGATTTTAAGGAGTGACAGGAAGTGAGCACGCTGCTGATTTCAGTATCACTGTAAAGACAGTGTGGTGTTATAATTTATAAGAAATTCAGGTGACCAAAAGATATTTCTCATATATTTGGTCTTCACCCACAGTTCCTGACTCATGGCTCCCCAAACCGGAATTTCCTTAGCACTGAAAGTGATAAGAGTCTTTTGTTATGTAAAGGAGGAGACTGGAAGCACCTAATGAGAAGGAATAGGTTTTGCTTGTTATATCTAAAGAGATGTTATAAGGAATGGAGGGACTCAGGCAAGAATTCTCTGCCTTGAGCGTATGAAAGGAAACAGAAATCAGATGTTTGTGCTCTTGAGAGTTGGAAGAGTCAACTGCTTCTGGGTCCCTCAGGAAGAAATAAGACTTGAAATGATTTCTAGAGATGAAGGCCCATTAGCCAACTTTCAGTTAAGCAAAGATATTCAGCCCTGTGGAAAGGCCAGATGTTTCCTTTCCACTGATCTGTACTATGAGAAACTCCAAAGGTGGCTGCCTTCAGGGTCCCTGTCACTAAGTTGAGCAAGAGGGAGGGACGGAAGGAGCACCCTGTGGCCTGCATGCCAATTCACTGGGCTGCAGATTCAAATGCAAACGCAGATGGTGACTGGCTCAGGGGAGGGAGGCTGGGTTAGAGCTGGAGGCAGATTCTTCTGTTCCCTGGATCACAGGGACTCCCTTGAGACTCCTAAACAAATCTGGAGATGGGGTGACTCCCCAGAACATAACATATTAAATCCTCTAGCAACCTGGGTGGGTATCAGGATTTTGAGACAAGTGCATGTGATTTACCAAAATGTAAGATAAAAATATAGGACGAAATGAGGTGTTCTTTATACCCAAAGGCCCTGGGAGCTTGTCATACCTGGTTTGCAATTAGTGCACAAATGAAGAGACAAAAGAACTGTACCAGAATTCTCCGTCGTCCAGAGCGGTGTGACACAGGCGCTTCTGCTCAGCGAGGCTGACCGAACGCCACTCGGAAGAGCTAGGAGTGGACAAAACCAGCAAGGGGTGTGGGGTCATGGGCGTCACTGGGCTAGGGCTGGGGCACCCTTTCCTAGGAAGCGGGTGTGCAGCTATGAAAGGAATAGATCCTGGGGAGTGACTGTACTCTGAACCCCAGAAATGTGCCAGAGGATTTGAGGTTGGTCAGAAAGTACATCTCCAAGTGCAGCCACTGGAAGAAAATGCCCCTCATGGGACCACCCCAGGGAGGGAAACTCCCTTGACCTCTGCTCTTTATTCGCCAGCTGGCACTTTGAAAAGTTACCTTATTTGACAAACTTGCCTGACATTGATCTACCAAGAAGCTTCTCTCTTTCCCTAGGAAGCCAGATCATGGTCTACCAGGGGGTCTTGCCGGTCCTTAGGTGAGCAGCTGCCGACTGCCCTCCAAATTGGAAATGATGTCTTTAAGTTCCCTGCTTCTTTGGGACACCCTCCTTCCCCCAACACACACAGCTGCCTCCAAACGTAGCTGACCTTTGAACAACTCGAAGTGACCAACCTTCTGTGCAGTAGAAAATCCACACGTGGCCCTCCCTGGTGGTGCAGCAGGTTAAAGCACAGCACTACAAAGCTGGCCACAGCTGCTTCAGCGTCAGTTCGATCCCCGGCCCTGGGGGTGACCCACATGGCGCAGCAGACCGCTCCTGGCCCGCCCGCTGCTCCCCTCAGCAGTGTAATTGGTCAATCTGCCTGTTCTGCCCCCACTCTGTCTCTGGTGAATCTTCTCACTGGCCCTGCACCTCTGGCCCCGTACCCCAGTTCTGTATGCACAAATAAATCTTTTTTTTTTTTTTTTAAAGAAAATCTACACATAACATATCGTCAGCCCTCCTTTCTCTAGGGTTCTGCATCTGAGGATTCAGTCAACCGGCATGCGAGGTTGGCTGACTTAATGAAGTCCTGCTGAGAGGAAACCTATGGAGTAGAATGAGCCCGCACAGGTAAACCCTGGTGAAGGATGATGCAGTTCCAGTGGCGTAGACCCCACTACAGCACTCTCACTGGTGTGGCCATTTCGTCCTCACCCTGGGGCTCTTACTGCTGAAGGAGGGCTCAGGAGAACCAATGAGGGACCTCAGAGCATCTCCCCAGGCTGCCTCTGCCAGGGTCTGGAGAACAGAACTAAGAGCCTTGATTTTCCCTTTGGGCCATTGCCTCCAAATGCCTCACAACACAGAATGGGCTGAAAGGCCAAGCCGAGCTTTCAGGCCTGTTCTGGTAACAGGCAGAATCAGCACTGGGATCAGGATGGGGACAGGCCCTCCCATCCCGCGAGGCTAGTGGGAGCAGGAAGCTGGCAGTCTCAGCTGAGTTCCAGTAAAAATCCACATTTCCCTCTTTACCATGTTTCTCAGGAAAAGGAAAAAGTGGCCTTTGTCCTTCTATAGTCTCCGTCCAATAAGCTGAGGGGCTCTATACATCTTACGAGCTAGAAGCAGTCTCTTTCCATTTGATTTCACTATTTCTCTTCAAGCCGAGCTCATCCCTGCTAAGGAGTTGGTTTGGTGTGACTTGGTCTCTGCCAAAGTGCCTTGGTTCTGAGGAGGTGGAGGCAGGAGGGGTGCAGGTGGCAGGGAGGGAGCAGTGATGGGCATACTCCGGTGTCAGTCCTGAGCCCTCCAGCTGAAGTCTGGTTAATAAAGCCACAGACACACCAATGGCTGCACCCCCTGGTGGCTGGTCTGAGCTGAGGACAAACACTGACTTGGCTTGAACCAAGTTGGAGACTCCTCAGAGCCCAGGGAGCTGCAGGTGGGCAGAGCTTGGGGGAGGGAGGAGAGAGGGCCGGCCGAGGCAGGTCAGGCTTGGCCCTGCTCCTACACCCCGTTACCCCAGCCAAGGACCACCTCTCCAGGGACACAGACCCCAAAGGAGCACCTTTCTTTCTAAAAATTTATTTATTTGTGCATACAGAACTGGGGTACAGGCCAGAGATGCAGAGGGTGAGAGGATTCACCAGGGACACAGTGGGGAGCAGAACAGGCAGATGGATGAAGTACACTGCTGAGGGGAGCAGTGGTTGAGACAGGAGAGGTCTGCTGCGCCATGTGGATCCCTTGGGGGCCAGGGATTGAACTCACACTGAAGCAGCTGCCGCTAGCTTGCAGTGCTGTGTCCTCACCCCCAGGGAGGGCCCAGGAGGAACTTATCTATGACTGGTGTCAAATAAATAACGCCAGTCATCAGAGCCATTGTGGCTGAGTTTCCTATTCCCCCTTCTCTGCCTCTACTGGGTCACTGGTCAGTGGCCATTAGAGTGAATCCTATGCTGACCTGCTGGCAACACTTCAGGGAGTCTCACACCCCAAATACTCACTGTACACAACACACACACACACACACACACAACACACACCCCTCACTGGGACTTCTCAGATGTGGAGGTGAAGAGCCACATTACATGGGGCTGTGAGTACCCACAGGCGAGGCAATACGGTCACCCCCCCCCCCCCAATACAATCACATGGAAGATAAGAAGTCGTTCTAAGAATCTTTCTCAGAAGCAAGTTTGACTGCAAGGTGGGCCTTGGGGGCTGGCGGGGAAGGAGGGGCGGCCACCCAGAAGCCAGAGAACACCCGAGACAAACTTCTCCTCCCCAGGTCATACAAGCCCACCGGGCCCCATGAACAGCATGAAGGTGGGTGTCAGTCAGACAGACGGATGGGGACCCACCTGTCGCTCCAGGACCCGTTCCACTCAACATGGCCCCAAGGGTTCCGGACTCTGATCATTTCGGTTTTCCGGCCTTGGAAGTTTACCTGGAAGGCAAAGGCAGGAGGGAAATATGGAAAGATCAGTTGAGTCCCAAATTCCAGAGTGGTTCCTCTCCAGCAGGGCAGGTGACTTCTACATATTAAAAACAAGTCAGGGCCTCCCTGGTGGCACAGGGAGTTAAGTGCAGCACTAGGAAGCTACCAGCAGCCACTGCGGCACAAGTTTGATCCCCGGCCAGGGAGCTGACCCACATGGCGCAGCAGACCTCTCCTGTCTCCCCACTGCTCCCCTAAGCAGTGCATTTCAGTGGATCCTCTCACCCTCGCACCTCTGGTCTATATTCCAGATCTTGTATGCATGAATGAATAAAATAAATTCTTAACAACAACAACAAAAATGTCACAACTCATCCATTCTTAACTTGACCTTGGAATTGTCTTGCTGAACATAGTGGCTAACATGACATGAATCTTCAAATGAACAAATTACAGTCTAGACTGGAGTTTCCCAAGAGGCTTATGTATCTGTGGATGTTCAGAATCTAACAGTGAGAGGTGAGGAGAAATTCTCAGACATGCGCAGTGAGCCTCCTTCATCTTGAGTTTCTTACTCACAGCAGGATGATGAATATATAAGCACTGGGCATTTAAACAACAAAAAATAGAAACCACTTCTATGGCCAATATTCCCCTTCTGGGTGCCTTCTGGGGGGTCTGCCAATGTGGATCTGCCCACGTGTCTGAGCTGTCCACACCGACCGCCTGGGGCCAGTAAACAGACCTTGCTCTGCTGGGCAGGAAAGGACCTGCGCAGCTCAGGAGAGCCTCGGAGAAAGAGAAAGCAAGGCTCCCCCCACCAGCTAGCCAGAAACTTGAGCTCTCAGAGCAGGTTACCCTCGTGCATGTGGCAGAGATTGTATTTTTGATGTGTGAAAACAATACAGTAAACCTCTCTGGAGTCTGAGATGGGGCTGGTATCACGCAAGAGGGTCACAGACTGAAATGTGCTGGGAGAATAAGGTCCGGCAAGGCGCAGAGAAGGCAAAGACAATTGGGCAGACGTAATGGGAGGCGTCTAGTAATATCTAGAAGACAGAATGTTCACAATCATGGGCCTACTCAGGGAGTGACCAGCAAGGCACAGACCAACAGAGAAGAAAAGGAGGCAGTATGATACCGAAACCCCAAAGATCCTAAGTGCACCCCTACCTTGGATGGCAGGTGAGGGGCGTCCTCCCTCTACTCTGTATTCCCCTTGCATTTGGAGTGTGGCAGAGGTGCTGTGAGCCCTACACATGGGTTGTGACTCATCCCATAGAGGCCCTGAGTGGGCAAAGCCAGGCCTTTGGAACTCACCGAACTTGAACCCGAGAAGTGCAGCCCATGGTGTCTTGTGTTCCCTCTCCCTCTCCATGTCTCTTGCCCTCATATTCCTTAACAAGGCTCCTCCAAGCCAAGCACTCACCAGAGTGGTCCTTTTGGGGTCTAAGTGACCCCTGGGAACATCCCTACCCTGAACTCTCACTACAGAGAATAGGACTTGGGGTGTTTAATTTTATGGACAACTTGACTGGGCCAGCGGGTGGGGGTGCCCTGATATTTGATTACACATTATTCTGGAAGTATCCGTGAGGGCATTCCAGGGTGACATTTGAATTGTTAGACTGTGCGTGTGCGCATATCCTATCTAGTCAGCTTATGGTCTGAATAGAACAAAGTGACTGAGGAAGGGAAAATTCCATCTCTGCCTGGCTGATGAGATGGGTCTCTGGTCCTCTTCTGCTCTCAGACTGACACTTGGACCATTGGTTTTTTTGATACTTGGGCTTTTTGGACTTAGTCTGAAACTGCACTACTGACTTTCTCGGGACTCCATGTTACACCTGACAGAATAATGTGAACTAATTCCTCACAGTAAATCTCCCCCTTTGCCCCTCCCCAGCACTCGCTCTCTCTCTCTCTCTCTTTATATATATATATATATATATAT